TTCAAAATAATACTCGACTAAAAAAAAAAATGTTCACCGTTGCTTAATCTGTCATATCGTACAATTATATCATAACATGGTTTTAGTCGTCTTACCCTAATTATCAGGGCCTAATAAGGGATAACTAACAGTGTAAAATACACATTTACTGTATAGGTATATTATTATTATTAAACTTTATAATTATATTTTACTTAACGTCTCATCACTCGAAAAAAAGTGATATTCTTGGTGGTATAAGGTTTTGTGATGAGACTATTTCTTACTGCTTTTTGGTTTTTACATAAAAGAAAAAAAAACATTTAGGCAACGATGAGTTTCGTATTCTACAACTCGCTGTCTTAAGATTAAATTTATGATTCAGGAAAAAAAGATGAATGTAGTTTCAGTAAGAATTGAAAAAAAATATGGATTCATCGAGATTGTATTTTGTCAATATTTCTTTGTCGAAACACCATTGTTATATTTCGTATAGAACCATAGTATTATCGTCATCTGTACACTTGTTAAAATAATAATTATTACGGAAGTCGTACAGAATGCAGATATTTTAATATTATGTATGTTCAATGATGTACAAAGATAATACTTATAATATTTCTCTGAATAATAGATAAAATATAACAAAATGTATATAGGATAAAAAAACGAATACATAATTATAATTTAAGACTTTAATTTATAAAAAAGCATTTTTACTATATAATATACCAACTAGTTGAAATTTTTACACTCGTAAATTCCCGTGTGTTTACTACGATCATTATACGCATCGGTGTTTACAGAGGATTATCATTATCTTTACAAAATAATTACAGTAAAACGCACGTTTAATAAACATAAAATAAAATAAATATGCATAGAAAAATTAACATCTGCCCCACAAAAAAAAAAAAAAAAATTGAAAATCTCGTCACATAAAATGATCTAAATAGTTTATTTGAATCAGCACAACACTGAATTTATGCTGTCGTTCAAGCCATAGTTTTCATTCGTCGAAATAACGACGCCGTCATTGTTCGTGTGACAGAAATAGAACCTACTGCGGTCCTATATTTGTTTACTGTTACACCGAATATTGAAGATATCACGTCTTACGAGCAATGCGTTCGGACGACGTTTCTTGACGCGAGAATGATACGACCTAGGAGAGAAAACACACCATTCGTGTTTATCTACGTTATAATTTATATACATTTCTGTGTTTGTGGCAGTTGTATTTGTTTTTATTTATTTTGTGATCTTATTGCAAAATTGCAAAATTTTCAAATGAAAAAGTATCTCCTGTTCCGTCCAAACTCCTAACCACAAAAACGCAAAATATACTATTATATACGCAATAACTTTGAATCGTCGTGAGCTTATAATACTCACCTCGAACAGTATAGGCAGTGCTTTATTTACGCGTACTATTTGTGCAATGTATTATGTCTATATTTGGTTCCATCGAAGAACTACAATGATTGGTCGTATATAATAAGTAAGCTGGCTTACAGCTTTAGCGACGACGATGATGACTCTTGCTTTTGATGGTGTTTTTGGAAGTGGAGGACGATAGCAGAAATTCCCCCCCCCCCTCCCCAGAGCTTTCGTTTTTATCCTGCCAGCCACTATATTTACGTTTATAATTTTATGGTTTCGTCTATAGTAATATTTGCATGACATTTAATTTTGAAACTCTACGGACAAACCAAGATTTTAAATTATGTAGATGCATGTACCTAGTAGTAGCTATAGTACCTACCCTCTACCTATCGTATTTTAATGTCAAAATTATTGTGAAGGTCTATTCAGCAGTGGCTTAGTACTTTGAACTTTGAAGCGATGCTGCAGGGCGATGAGCACTTATGATTTTTACTTTGCTCAAATCGTTATTCTAATGGGAATTTTAACTGTTGTCTGCGTGTATATAGTTTTATGTCAGCTTTTATTTGTCCAGGCATGCCATTTAGGGAGGGAGCTGGGTGTGCGTTTGTTTCTATTTTTTTTTTTTTTTTGCAAAAACGCACTCTTTGACATCTCAAAAAATAAAAATAAAAAGAAAGCGCCTATGTATAATATATTATATATTTTAAATCTAATACTGAGTCAGTGCGTTGTATTTTGAATTTCGTATGTTTTCAAATACGGTCTTTCTGTGGTTAGTCGGTCAACTGACCAACTTCCGAAGAGAAAATTAATATAATTGATGTAAATAATATTAAAAAGATAAGTTTTACATGGCACAATTATTTTGTCGATAGTACAAATTTGAACCACGGGATATGAACTAAAAGTAAAAATCGTTAGTTAGCAAAAAGTAATTTAAAAAAAATCTATTACAGTAGTCACTCGATAATTCGAAATTCAGGGGACCGAGTTCTAAATTCGATTTATAGAGGTTTTCGATTTACAGAGTGTTTGAATAATCGAGAAAAACATTAATTAATTCGAATTAAAGAGATGTGAAAAATTGTATGTATGTACATATTACATTTATTTATTATAGGTAGGTTCATATTATTACATTTTACAATTATTAATTGATACATATTTATTTATTATATATTCTATTTTATATTTATTAATTGACATTTATTTATTATACTTTATTAGTATTATTATATTTTACATAATATTAAAGAAATCTGTTTTTTTTTTTGTAATATACCTAAATTGCTGGCCACAATCTGGTCCATAGCGTTATCCAACTTACTGATAGCATTCAAAATTATATCGCATCTTTTTTCGTCCATTTCAGATTGCTTACAAAATTGACGTAATACTGACATAAAAGACTTTGCTTCTTTCAACGATAAGGCAGGAACCTCCGTCTCCTCTTTCTCGTCATCATTGTCAGAATTGAGCTGATTGGCTGTGGTAGATTGTATGATTTCCATAGCAGATGTTTATTTTGGTAAAATTATACGATTAAAGTTTAGATTAAGTATGTAAGGTACGATAACATTTATAAACTACGATAATATTTACCCCAACATCGTTATTAGATTCATTACGAGTACGTCAAATTTATTATACATAATCTTTATACGTATGAACTTACATATAATAGCGTTTAAGGAAATTCGAATTATTGAGGTTCGTGGAAAAAAAATTCGAATTGTAGAGTGTGCCCTACCGACAGACATTTTAAATAATTGAGAGGGCCGGAATACATGTATTTTCAACTAATTATAGAAGTTTTCTCTGGGGACTTGGCGTTTAGTTCGATTTATGGAGTTTTTCGAACTATCGAGGTTCGAATTATCGAGTTACTACTGTATATTATATTATACATAATATACAATATCTATACATCTTGTTTTAAATATTATATTTGTACCTTATATGGGTTTTTTTATAATTCTATTATACCCAATACTCATTGGATTGTACTGTTTTTCATCGATTATAAAATAAATATCAATATGTATGGTTTTATTAAAACCCTACCTCCTATCCTCCCCCACCATTTACCAAGATGAAGTTTAAAATAAACCATCGCCGGATTTTAAATCGATATTTTAGTTTAATAATAATAATATGGATATGTGTTCGCATACATCTAGTGTCTGGACGACACCATATCATATTGTGTATGCATTTTTTTGCTTGGTATTGTAATTTTTTTCACCGTGTATACGATAATTAACAATCCGCCCGCGTCATAAAATATAATATTCTACGGGAAGAGTTTTCGCAGTTATTCCGTTCGAAGGTTTATACACAAGGGGACACGCAAGCGTCATACTATACCTATATGCATATAACATATCATAGTCTGCCGTCGTGAACACCATACAACAACATCACGTATTATAAATATATAATATAAGTATAGCGTTAAGTCAAAAAAGAATTCGACGGTTTCGGCGCCAACTAAAACGATACCACGTCATCCTCCCCCCTCCCCTCCCCCCACACGATCGCGGCGGCGACGAAAGGGGTGTTTTATCCGACCGACTATACCGAACGTGACTGCGCGTCGTCTCGGGGCGATTGCAGCGGTTTCCGATTGCTAATCCCGGCCGCCCGAATAAAACGCCCTATATACATATTAATATTTATGTTTGTGTGTGCCGGAGCTTTTTTCAACTTTTGTCCCCTCTCCGGTAACATGTCCCCCTCGGAAAGGGTGTATCATAATAATAATAATAATAATAATAAATAAATAAATACATACCTATTATATTATAATGCACGCAAGGAACGTTATACCCACAGATTAAACTTACCCGCGGATAGCCCGCTGCAGCACCTCGACGATGCATACTATTATATTATTTTGTTTATATATTCAAACATACGGACAAAGAGCCCTGCTGCGATTTGAATATTATATAAGTGCTAAAAATGAATACCATTAATAAACACAATAACAATTAACATATTTATTTAATTAACTGACATATTATTATGTCCAATATAACAATAAGACAGTATGTACACAGCAGCTCACATTATAGTAGACAGCAATTAAATAATACAACACAGTTAGATAATTAACAACAATTTAAAAAAAAACCAGAATTGATGAATTATTAATGTAACGGATTGTAGTAATAATAATAAGTAAGAATACTTATAATATTAATTATAATAATTGGACAATTTAAAAGAGGCTTAGGTGATCATTCCCTAGATGCAATAGGATGGTTTCTACTATAGAAAATGGGTGGGTGAAACGAAAGAACAAAAGAAGAATTGCATCTATTGGAATGAGATGGAGCTCAGGTGCGCCCGATTATATTTATAGTACACCTTTGTACAGAAATAAAACGCATGTTCTACCACAGGACCTATACCCCAGATAGCAACATGTAGATGTTATTTGTCAAATATTTGTAAGAGTTTTTTAAAGTGATATAATATTGTATAAAACAATAAATTGTCCATGACTTTATCAATAGTCAATACTCAATAATTGTATATATTTTATATCAAACCTTTTGAGATACTAACTTATGTCATTTCCATATAATTCGTTTGCGAATTTTAAGTTTTCTACTATATTCTTCCAGGTAAGAACCTCCAGGATGGAGCGAGGAAACGGGACTTCTGGAGCGGGAGGCAGTGGCGCTCACGTCTCTCCATACTGCGGGGATCTGCTGGTCGACTTGCACGACGTGTACGTCCACTACCACGGTTATGCCAGCCTGCTGGTTTGTGCGTTCGGTTCGGTTGCCAATGTGCTCAACATCGCAGTGCTGACACGCAAGGAAATGGTCTCACCAACCAACGCCATACTTACTGGACTGGCCGTGGCCGATCTGTTGGTCATGGTTGAGTACGTGCCGTTCGCCTACCACATGTACCTACGGCCAGCCAACTATCCACGCGCTGACCGCTTCTCCTACAACTGGTCTCTATTCGTCTTACTTCATTCGGACTTTTCGCAAGCATTCCACACCATATCCATATGGCTGACGGTCACCCTGGCCGTATGGAGGTAAGTTGAGCACTCGCGTTTATAATGTAAGTATAACCTAATATAATGTAGGGCACACGTGAATTTTAAAATGTAAATTGCATTTTTTCCAAATTTCCTGAAACATTGCTTTCGGAGCACAAAATTCGTCTCATCCACTTAAGGTGACTTAAAATTAAAACTTCTATTTAGTTTTTTTTTTATTCTCTGAGAATTTTTTGTAATTTGTATGAGATTTTTTCTTATTTTTTCAAATTTTTTTTGTATAAGATTGGATAAAATTTGATATCAATTTACTATATTAGACTATATCCCACTCAAAAAAAAATTGTTATTATTTATTTTGCTTTGGCATAATGTTAATATATTCATGTTGTGTCTTCACCTATATACCTATGAGTCAAAGGTGGTCACTGCTACTCAACGGTCTGAGAAACGAAATTTTAATATTGAGATAAAATGGTTAGAGTTCTTAACATGTTTTGTTTCTATAAACTCAAAAATAAAATATTTGTTTTGACATTGTTCATAATCTAAAATAATCAATTTATATAGCTAATATGAATATTTTATAAGTAGAAATGTGGAATTTTGAATAGTTACCTAAGTAGGTAGCTTTTAAAGTATACGCTGGAGGCTAATGAAACAACATGTACATAGTACGTACATACACATAGGTTATAGTGAAACACTTTAAATATATATTTATGTATAAATGCAAATGAAATAAAAAAAAAACAAGAAAGTGTACAAATATTTAAAAATTATAAAAAGAAAATACTTGAAAAATATTTTGACAAAAAAATATATTTAATTACACGACATGATAAGTGGATCACTCAGTAAATAAAAAATAGACCATAAACATCTCACAAGTCTTGAACAATAAAAAAAATTTCAACAGACCGAAAAGTCTTAACCATTTACTTATTAAATAGAAACACTATCCAAGGAGAAGGTTATTTCATTCTAGGTAACGAAATATCAATATAATATTATTATTATGTCATTTTGGAACTTCAGAAGTCCAATATAATTATTATAGTTGTTCAAGACTTATTTAGAGTTTTGATGCCCTAGGTAAAGTTTTGATGATGCCACCCCTATTCCGTCTTAAACAAAATGTGTCACTGCAACTATTTGGATACAAAAAGTTAGCAAGAACTTACAAACATTCAACATTTGAGACGTACATGTCAAATCTTCAGGTTTCTTCGTCATAAAATATTTGTCTAACTTGAGAACTGTATAAATAACAAGTTCATTTTTAAAATGTTATTCTATGGATAATTTTTGCAAAACTGCACAACCTACTAATTATTATTCATTTGCCAGTAATTTGAGTATGCTATGCTTTTATAATATTGAAAAATTATCGGATTGTATCAAAAAAATTTCAAAATAATAAATACAATGAATAGAACAAAAATCATTTTCAAGATTTCAACAGATATAAACCTGAATGCACAACGAAACTGAAAATAACATCTTAGTCTTATAGTTTAAATAATTCACTCAGCTATGTACATCTATTATTTATATTATGTACAACTATGATTTACTATAACAACAACACAAAAAGTGAAAAATGATCAACATAATATAAAATATAAAAGTAGTAACTAATAATAAATTAGATAAATAAAAGAAGTGAAAGATAATTTCGATTTTTGACTTACCAGATACTAGTGGTACAGCAGTAATGACATCCTACTGCTATGTTAGCTATATGTTCATTCCACAAATTGTAATCCCATAATACATATATTATATATGTATATATACTTGCTAATCTTGTGCACTTTGTTGCCCGTTAAAAATGCCAACTCTATGTGAGACTCGATGGTAATAATACGAGCAGTATTTATGCCTACCTGGCACCTGCTGTAGATTGAGGACCCCGCTTGATGAGTACTTTATATAAATAATATGTTTTATTTTTATTTTGATTGCGGACACGCCAATGAGCGACTATAAGTACAACTCAGCCACCTTGGTAGACAATGTGTGAAAATTAAATTGTATGCATGCTTATACCTGATCTGCCCAATGAGCTACTGCAGGCAACCAATAAACAAAAAAAAAATACCAATTTCTACTAAATATATTTATATTTTGTCTATAACCAATATCAACCATATATAAACAAATATTTTCTTCGTAAATCTTAAAATTCCTGCTTGAGCAACTCCCTGGGTTGGACCTATCGGATCCAATTGTCAATCTAAACCATCCAGGACATCACCCAAACGCATACAACAAAAATTCATTCAAATCGGTCCAGCCGTTTAGGAAGAGTTCAGTGACATTCACACGTAGAGTAGAATTATATATGTAAAGATATATAAAATAATTTTATAATATGAGAATGTGTCAATAATATTTTACCAAGCATTATACCAACAACTAAATTGCACAATAAAATTATATTGATTTTTACGTAAAACTGAAATATGTTTAAAACAAATTGTTTCTATTTTTAATAACTAATGACTATATAGACGATGACTCAATGGCTGTAGGTTGCGGATAGCAATGTATTCCTTCACGTCTAAAACCCTAAAAAAATTGCAACCCACAGGATTAGAAGTACTAAATGTCAGTTGTATTTGCATATACCAACTTCAGTATAACTATTAAGGATCAATTTATACGCAGAGCATTATCTGAGGCTATACTTCATTTAAAACTTCGGCGTACTGTATACAGGGATTGTAAAATTACAATGACACAAGGTCCCCACATCCCATATTATGTACGAGAAAACGCTAAATACGAACTACAATGTACACCTTGTGTTGTATAGCATTCGATAAGTCCGAAACGCTCAGGGAGGCTGACCCTAGGAGGCTTCGACCCCGTGGTATCGTTTTTAATCACCGAATGCATTTAATTTTAGGATCGTTATAACTTTAAGACTTGCAGAGGTAGAAAACAATAGAAACCCAATTCATACAAATCTATTGCAGGCTACTACATAGTCTAAAATATACAACTTGTGTAATGTATAGGTGCAGAATTTATGTTGCTGGAGATAGACTTCCAAAGGGACAGATAAACAGAAATCTTTTTGAATATATATGAATCAAAGAACCCTCGTTCGCCGATATGGCTTATTATTAAACCTGTATCATTTACATAACTTTGGGGCCAAAACTATGAACTTTTCTATCTATAACCCTGTCGGTTCTCAACCCCTACAGTCTGCTAGTCTCACGCGTTTATGGTTTATGTATTTATTTTTGGACATTTTCCAATATATATATATATATATATATATATGTATTATATTTTCCCTTCGTGGGAAAAAAATCTAACTGTTACAAGGTTCGCTGGATACTAAATAAGTGTGTTAGTTATATAAGACCAAATAGTTCAATACTATAGGAAAACCGATAAAATGTGAAAAAAACCTAATAAATTAAAGTACATTAATCCGTGAAATCATATTCACTGTAGGTTTTGTGTAACGCCAAAATATAATACAAGTTTTATTTATAGTATCGATTTTTGTTAAAGTTGATGACAAATTATTTTTACAGCAAAATACTATACTCTATATACTAAGAAATAAACTAAATTATGAAATGCAATATTTCAATGGTTCGGTAAAAAAATGTTTTCAAATAATAATAAAAATAATTTCATTTTCTTAATTTTACTTTGATTTAACACACAATTACGTGAATTAGCAGAAATTAAATTACTTAAAAAAACCAATAAGAAAGAAAATAGTTTAGAATTAATTAATGTAATTCCTCAAACATTTTAGACTAATATTTTTGAGATTTGTAGTCAGAATTCAAATTTGATGTAAACCTAAAACATTTAAGGACAAGACCATTAACATTTGAATTTGAAACAACATGAAAATTAATAATTTCAACTAGTCTGTATAATTATAGCTTGTTTCAGTTATTTACGATTTAAGTATATGTATAACGAGTTACATTTACAAATTGCATGTGGACAGTTATATCTTGTATCAATAGCCCGTATTTATTTGAGTTAAATTTTAAATTTAAACTAATGTACATGATTTAATTAATTATTTATTCAAGACTTGGTAAAGTTACACCAAGAGTGATTTCTATAAAGCATCTATGCTTTACGAATACCGAATAAGATTTTTCTTTTTTTTCGTCTGGAAAATAAGTCAGAGTTAACTTGGATTTTTTTTTTACTATTTTTCAATAGTAGAGTGTTGTTTCCCACTACAATTTCATTAATTTTTTAGAATTCATCTAGGATTTCGACGGATAATGGCAATTTTTTAAGGACTTGCATTTAAGGTCGAAAATATACGTAGAAATCGTGATACGACCGAAGGCGACAAGATTAAGTGAGTTGTATCGGTCTAGAACATAATTAACTTTAGGAGTAGGTATAGTCATTGATTGTTTCACTTTATCATTGAAGTCCATTTGAAGTACTGCTTTTTTCAATAAAAAAAAAATAATAAACCTGCACCAATAATACCAATAATCAATACTATACACTTTAAATTCAATTTATGTTTTTACACTTTAAAATATGAAGCGCAAAACAATATTTTCTAAAAATATAATAGGTAATGTTTATAATAGGTGCCTACTTTGAAACTTCAGATTATATTTAACGAAAAATTAATATTTCGTAAATAAAATCAGGACGGTAGGTGTATATTGTATATTCTGTTTAATGAATGAGTACCTACCTACCTATTATATTAATATGTAATACAAAAAGATATTTTGAACGATAAAGGCACACCTATTAAATATTAACATAACTAATTTATTGAAAAAATATGTTTAATATTAATAAAAAAATCACATATTTGTATAATTTAATTATTCTGTACATTTAAATAGAAAATGATATGAACAGTGAATCAATTAAAATATAGTAAATGGTTAAATTTAAGTTTATTAAAAAAATAATTATTATTTATAATAATTATGGTTTATTTTTGCAGCCAAGTAAAACTTTTAAAAGTATTCTACCTTTTTAGTCAGCTGAGTACCACCTATTATTTTTTT